TCTTTTGCATTACGATTCTTACTGACTTGGGGATTGAATTTACAGTTTCTGGCATGTTTTGGTAGAAAGCGTTCAACTGATGGGATGGACACTCAAAGCGCGAGATAATGATATAGACATATGTGATATCACAATTAATGCTTTGCATAAATGAAATTGAATCCAATGTGATCCTATTAATTCATTATAAAAAGCTCAGTGTTTATGTATGCCTACGTACTTTGGAAACGATGGTGGCATCATGCATTGTCATCTGTAAAATTTCCTTATCAGAAACCTGGCAAACCCTTCCTGGATCCGCCCCTGGCGTTAGAGTCGGTCAAAGAGACGAGAATTAGCATTAATTGTGGTTGTGTCTGTGATGCTGGACTGAGGAACTGACAAGGAAAAACGTCTAATCGTTCGCTGTGGTGGGAAGCGGGGAGGGGAGGGGGTGGGGGTTTGTAGGGCTGAATGGTTAACACGTGCGCGTTGCATCATCAGGTCTGTCACTGAGTCAAGTGGTGTGGTTTCGATTCCCTATAATCAAGAGTAGGATGGTCTGTCCAACCTCGTGGGTTTCCCCCGGGTCCTCCGGTTTCTTCCCACTGCTAAAGACCCCTACGCGCAATCGAATTGATGAAATTAAATTGAACCATATGTTAGTCCCTAAATGACCTAGTTTGTGTCGAGTGGACGTTAAACCCCATATCCCTCTCTGTCGCTAATCGTTCGGATGGGACGAACAATCGATAATCTATATACAACATTAGCAGTCGGTTAAAGATCCCTTGACAGTTGTAAATCGAAATAGAGGAGGCTATAGCATATGCTCGTCTTAATCAGCCCAGACATCAAACCCACCTCATTTCATTTTATTATGGCTGTGTACGTTTCTGTGAGAATCCAGACACCCAACAAATATATTTAGCAGTGCGTTGACCTATATACTGGATATCTCTAATATATCGGACAAACTTAGAAAAAAAAAACCCGTTAAATGGGACCATCTAGGTCTCTAACTCGAGGAGCTGTGTTCGATCCCTGTGTTGGCCGGGAAAGTTCATCCGGATTTTCTTTCGTGGTTCCACCTTGTCAGTGGTGTAGGCCAGAGGGCCTGACAATGGACAACGTATAGTCGTTTGGATGGGACGACAAACCTAGGCCCCGTGTACACCTTGGCGTGCACGTAAAAGAACCCTTGACAATTGGAATTCGAAAAAAGAGTAGGCCGTAGAGCCGCTGTTCAGACAAAATTTCCCTCATTGCATAGTGTACGGCGTATGCCCGTCCTCACTATCCTAGTCGGTGCATTTCATTTTATTTATCAAACTCCCACAGCACTCGACAGTTACCGAAAAGTTAACACGTTTTGCACTAAGATTTGAATTCAGTAGCAAAAACACTGGCAACAGTCTGATTGGGTGGTTGGAATTAAGGTCGGCATAGAGTGGGATTTCAGTTGCAAACCGATGGGAAATTTTGAAGTTGCTTAATTCATGGGCTAGAATCGCAGAAAAACGCAGTTGCGGCGGTTAAATTTTCAAAATTTTCTCTGAGAGCGCGAATCCCCATACACCGCGATTGATTGTTTGGGATTTGGTTAAGTCACTTAAGGTGGGCTATATCAGCCAACATTGAAATTGATGTATTCACAGACTGGAATAGCAGGAAAACGGGTTTGAGGCAGTTAAATTTTCAAACATTCATCGAGCTCGTACGCCTATGCATCACGAGACCATATCTTCTTAAGGGGACACCGATGAAACGACCTTCATAAAAGACTTCTGGTTATTAAAAAATGAATAAATAATGAATTTATTTATCGTTGATGTTATACATACGTATCATATTTTACACATGTGACGGCGTTAAGTAGTATAAAGGATCTAACTACATTATAATCGTGCAAACCAGTGGGGTGTTACAGTAGTTACACAGAAATAGGAGATCTTAAAACTAGGTGGTTCTCACTATCACGATTCGCGCCAGGAAAACGCCTTCGCGACTGTCAGCTTTCCATAGCTCCTTCTTTTTTTGCACTGGGGGGGGGGGGGGGGGAGGGGGTCTTTACGTCGTCTGTAACCCGAATTTTTTTCGGGGCATATCAGGTTCTGGTCCCCCTAACATTCATCGAGCCCGTACGCCTATGGCAAAATAAGAATTTTAATAGATCAGGATGTCTTAACTTTATAATCAGTTTGATTTTACGCGCACAATGAAAAAAAAATGACTGATAAAATAAGACGTTTACTGGGTCAATACACCATTCAGGACAATGGGAGGGTAACCAAACTGTAAAACAAATTAACCCTAGATAAGCATTAGTACACATTTAAACAGCAAAAAGACTAGCAATAAAGTTCAAGCCCGCTCAGTACGAAATTTATTGGTAAAACCACGAAAAACCCTTTATAACATTTTACAAAAAGATCTAGTCCGTTCAGGGTAAAATCACTATATATTCTTTATTTTGTTTTGGAACTTTTATAAACAAAAAACGATATATTACAACGCTTCTCTATCGAACACCGACGTATTAAGGAGTTATGGGTATCTAGGTCAAACACTATATGAAATATATTTGTTGCTACGTTATGTTTGATCTATTAATATTTTTCTATGTGCTGTGTTATTGTGCTTAACATAGCAATACATTGAAATGGAGTTTACAGAATAGTTTATATGAAAATACAATACGAAATTCAACGACATGAACATATTGCTCTGATATTAGAAAAAAGTGTCTGGTGATAAATGAGTACGTCAGTAGTAAAACTCATGCACCACTGTCACAGTGACGTTTGCACCACTTGCATATCAGAATAGTGCAAAATATTGTCTTCAGAATTATTGTGATTTTTTCGTATCATATCATTGTATTTTTCTAAGTGGTACATTTTAATGAAAGTTCCATTTTCATATTCAATATCTTTCGTTTTCAATTCAACTTTCCGATTTTTATTTTTTTTTTTAACCCAAAAGGGGGCGTGCATGTCCAAGGTAAAGGGGATTTTTGCGCCGGGATCGAGGTGTATTTTTGCGCCACAACGTCTCGGCCGCACTCAACCCCAAACGACTATCACCGGGCCCCTGGTCAGAAAGACGATATTTTTCTTGTCAGTATTTTCAAACACACTTCTGATATCTTGAATTGATCAACAAATCAACAAATTGTTTGCATCATACATGTAATGTCAATGCAGCCATTACAACATTTATGGAGCCACGGTGGCTAAGTAGGTAAGACGCTTGCTCGCTAGCCTGGAGGTCGTGTCTTCGATGCCTGCATTGGCCCAGAAAGTTCATCGGGATTTTAGGACTTGATTTCCTCTTGTCAGTGGTGCAGTACGGAGGGCCTGACAAGTACAGCTGTCTAGTCGTTCGGTTGGTACGAAAAACCGAGGTCCCGTGTATACATTGGAATGCACGTAAAGATCCCTTGGCAGTTGGAATTGGATATAAGAATCGGTCAATAGTACCGCTGCCCGGGCAAAATTTCCCTCATAGCCCAAACGCATGCACAAACACCGACCAAAGTAGTCAATGAATCAAACAAACGTAAGTGGTATACTTTGGCATTGTGAAATTGCGACGAATCTCGACCAATTTCTTGTGTGTTTCGGATAACGTTTATCCAAATTGTTATTGAGAAGTATCTTATGACGCACACGCTAGTGAGTGCAGGAAATTAACCCCGGTTCGTCGTCCCATTTAAACGATGTTATCTATGATAGAAGATACGAATGTCATTGATTTGAAATATGGTGTACATAAGGTGAAAAAAATCAAGTTTACTCTACAACGATAGAACAATTGCAAGCTTATGTGGTGGTTTGGGTGGTTGGATGGTCCACAAACGTTATAGACTAGCATGTATACGACTCATCATCTTCAGTAGAAGGCTTGATCTCGCTTTAACTACGTACATCTTATCAAGGCCTTCACGTAATACCCCGCATATTTCAGCACTAATTTCGATTGGGTACAAGTCCAGCTTGTGAGCCTATCAGATTCCTCGATCGTCGCGAATACCAAGTCTCGCGCTTTCAAGCTTAAATGTCTACCCGTGATAATCGAGTTGCAAAGTTCAGGGTTCATTCAATGTCAAGGTTTCCGTGGAGGTCGCGATGTCACAACCTCTGATTGGACGCTGCTGCTCACGTGTCTGTAGATAAGATAGCTGTAAATTCGGGAAATGTGAAGTAAACAAGCAACGTCAAGATGTTGTAAAACTCGCAGTCGTTGCTTCAGGAACATGACGACTCATCGACATCGTGAATCTTTTAAAGATACATTAGTTAAGAGTTTTATAAAGAGTTGGCCATTCTTGCTATAATAAGTCAAAAATAGATGATAAAAAAAGAAAATGTGAAAATTTCAGTCAGATTACTTTGTTCTGAACAGAGCTGTCGCCGTTGAAAGTTTGGACTAGAAATAGGCATCAATTGTGTCTGCACCGTCTATGAGAATTGGCGACCGTTTGATTGACAGACGATAACTCTACCCACATATTCTCGATTATCAAGTAACATGCTCAATGGCTATGGTAGTCTCGTTTGGCAGGCCTTTCATCACCAGTTTCAGGTAGTGACATCAGCGACTAACGGTAAACCTTAGCTTGGCCCGCCATTTATTGATTTAATTTTAAATGGACGACTGTTTAAATCCAAACTGTATCCATGCCATCCGTGGGTCTACAGGGTTGATTTTGAGCTTGTCGTGTAAATAAAGGTCTAATTAATAACTTCTATAAAATCTGAAGCCTAAAGAAAGACCTGCAATAGGAAGATTCAGCTCTTGCATAATGTATGTTTTAATACATGTGACAATAATCTTGGGCTTTAGAGCGTAGACAAGGAAATGTATGGCCGGACTGACAGACAGACAGACAGACAGACAAGAGCGACGACATATTTTAAATCTGTATCCCACCATATCGCTTTCATATTTTACATGGAAAGTAAAATAAAGATTTTCAATGTAATTTTTTGAAAAAAATAATAAAATATCAAACTTACCCAGAAGTATGACCTTGAACTTTAAGTTTTACTGGACAACTTTCTGTTCCATTATCTGATAAAGTCACGGCTATGCACATAGATAGTACTAACGAAACACCTACAACAAACCTCACAGCCATAGCTGTTCAAGGGCGGTTTATGTTTTAATCCAAAGTAAACTGTGCATTCGTAAATATTTACAGTGTGACGTAACTCTGTTCCTCTTATTTGGAGGTCACATCACTATACATTGTATATACTTCAGAATACACGAGGATAATATTTCGGTTAATTTCACAGCAGCTGTGTGATGCAGTAAAGGTACCCCTGCGAAAAGACAATCTTGTTCTTGATCTTTGAAACTGCTGATGAAGCAAGAACTAAATCTCTTCTGAAAGAAAGAAAAATATATTATATAAGGCACACCCTTAAAGGGGCGGTTGGGGGGCATGATTTAGTCTCACTTTATGCTAGATATAAGTTATTGAAAAGGACGTAACAATTAGTTAACGGCTGTAATTTCAAAATATCGTCTGGGTGGGAGCCACGATGTCTCTATGATTATGATTTGCTTAACAATCAAATTCCGAGAGAGTTCTTCAGAATTTTCCAGTCTGGCTTTCCCTTGCCAGTGGTGCAGAAGGAAAAGATGTGTAACTGGGCCTGTCAAGGAAAAGTGTCTAGTCAAAAAGGTCCATTCGCGTACTCGTTGGCACGCACGTAAAAGAAACTGGACAGCCAGAATTTGATGGAGAGTAAACCGAAAGGCCTCTAAACGGGCAAAATTTCCCCAGATGTTTACTCATTATCTGAATGTCAAAACTTGCATTTTGAAAATGTTAACATGTAAAATCACTGGTTTCTTCTGGCTAGATCGTTTGTCTAGTAGCGAGGATTATCTTCTTTACTTCTTACGGGATAAATTCACAAAGTCCAATTATGGTTTAAATAAATTTATAATTCAGTAGGCACACACAGCTATGCAAAGGTTTGGTACGGGTTCACACTTCTGACATTTTTTTATAATAATATTGTACTTAAACATACATTATGCAAGAGCTCTGCCTGCCTATTTCAGGTCTTTCTTTGGGCCTGAAATGTTATCGAAATTATTAATTAGACATTAATCAACTTATCCAGACCATAATCAACTCTCAATTTCATTGCTAGCCTGCGATATTTACTGGATTAGGGTCCGATTTGCGGCTCAACTTTTATTCATGATTTAATCATGAAATGGATAATCAAGACTATGTTTTGATCGTACCGACTCACAGTGGTTCAATTTGACTGAAATTTTCAGCAAATTCCCTTTTCATTATCTAATCTTTAACAATTATAGTGCGAACTGTCAGCTCTTTATCTAAACTCCCATAATGTATCTTTACGCACGTTTAAGAATTATCGCACTAGTTAGATTACGTTAATAACCTAATCTGCCTACGGTGTAGAAATGTGTCGGTCAACACTAGAGCCGTATATTAACCTGCTGTACGTATCTGATATCTATCCTATATCTATTTAAGAGCTTATACTTTAGCGTCAATTTTGTGACGAATGACATGTCGGCTCCGAACAACTCGCTTACAACCCTGGATGTCTTTTTTAGAAGATATATAGGTTGTATTTCCCGAATATAATGATACAATTTATTTAGAAATGACCAAGTTACATTAAGCTAATAGAATCTGTCTAAGCTATAAAATACATAAGTTTCCTTTATAATCTAATTTAATAATTTTGTTCCTTGTTTCGCCTGAAAGCTAATTAATAATTACTGATACATTGAATAACTATACGCAAAGCATTTGAGAATATATTATAAGAAGATTCATAGAACAACCTACAATAGTAATACAATGTTTAAAACGAAAAAGGATTATCTTTTCATATCAAAACATGAACAAGATTAACGGAGCTAAGTCGCTAATATTTGGGACATAGAAATTGACACAAATGGGTCGCATCGCATACAATAATGTAATATGAATGTATATAAATTGATTTACATTCAATCGTTTCTGTTTTTATTGTTAGGTTCGGCGAAATACGCCAGTATTCTCAATCGAATTTCAATCTCTAGCATCTGGTTATTCCGGTCTACGCCGATAGTATTTATTGGGCATGCTCTCCAGATAAGAATATAGCGTCACCGTTTGACATGACTTAGGGAATATGCCTAACCTCATTTTTCGATTCCCTTATTACAAATAGCGCCGAAACGCATTATGGTACACGATTCGTGTACCAATTGTAAAATGTTTATTTTGTCTTAAATAATGGATATCAGAAGGCCATCTTTTCCCGGTAAGATCACAACATCAATGTTGATTTAAACCGACAAATAAATCGTGTTTTCAATGTCGAAATTGTTAACATAAGACAAATAAAGATGACAGTATGAAATCAATAAAAACTTCAAATGACCATAGAATTGACCAATTTGAATGATGTCCAAACCGAAATGTTTTTCTTTTAATGCGATGGCTTGAATCTGAAAATGTTTACAGTGACAAAATATTCTTCAGACTGGTTAATTAAAGTCGAAATTCTATCATGTAGGCTGTCACTGCGTGAATTTCGACACGGTATATAAGGCCTTCGAGAATCACGATGCATACACTATCTCGCGCACGACACATTCAATGTCTGGATGTCAATGTCACCGTGTTGGTATCACCAACAAGATAAATACAAATAAGTTTGAATGATATCAAGTTTTGTGTGTCTTTTTACTTGCAGGGCTTATACTCGAAACGTTGTCTTAGATCAAATTTAGTCCCACATCATTTCCTGAAGTCCCTTTACCATCCTGGTATCAGTTAGGCGCCACCTTTTCTTTCAGTATTTGACGTATGAAATTGGGTGTTTTATACGATAGATCACTTTAACTTATATTGGACACAAATGAAATGGAGTTTAACGTCCTACTTTTTTGCTTCTCCCGAGCTAATGAAGATGGACATACACCGTGTAATGTTGTATGAGGGACATGTTTCCCGAACAGCGGAAATTCCATCTGTCAAAGGTTGTTTTACGTGTATGCCAATGTGTACACGAGACCTCGATTTATCGTCCCATCCAAACGACTATAATATTAAATATACTCCTGTTTAAATATGGCAACCAATACGGAGACATTGCAGTGAGTCGAATATTTGATACAGTCAGCATTTCATTATATTAACTGGCCAAGACCAAATAACCGAGCTGGTTAAATTAAAGACATCGGCTTCATTTATTTTGGCCTCTCTTATTAACAACGAATCATTACAAGGTAATAGCTCGGCCATCATTATATTATATCAGAACTAGTCTTTTTATTGATATCTTCGTTAAATCTATTGACACGTCTGATCCTAATATTAAATATTTGCCGTCAGATCCGCCATTGTTTCGTACCTACTGATATTATAAACCTCATACTCGGAAACCGATAACATTATTTGTTTTCGAGCAGCGTTCCGCGACCTCGTCACCAACTTTCAAAGAAAAAATATAATATCGTAAAAATAACTCGATGACAGTTCTCATTTCGTTACTGGTTTCTCCGTTTTATCTTTGCCAATATCGGTATCGTGCAGAAGATAAGGAAGACATATTCTCATGTTTGACTGCGGTTGTCAATTCTTTGCGCTTAATATGATATTAAACTGAAAGAACAAAAAATAGTTCATCAGTGTTGTATTAATGTCCCGGAGAAACTGTATAGCAGTATTAATCACATCGTTCAAACCTGGATTCCACAATGATGCATGAAAATAGGTTTAAATTGAGGACTCTGATCGGAAATCCTAATACTTGCACACACATACACAAACACAGCCACTTTAAATCGATAATCTCATAATCGGCATTACGGAAATGAAGACTTGTCTTGTATAAAAGCAACAAAACTCCCAAGTTTGTTGTTGTTTAATGTATTATCATCGTTGGTATATCATTACACGTTTAATGTATTATCATCGTTGGTATATCATTACACGTTTAGGACGTTGCAGGACACACTGTAATGAAATGGTTTTAGCGTCCTATTGTTCTGTTCCGACTGGGCTAATGAAGACGGACATACGCCATACACTATGAGGGAATATGAGGGAAATTGTGCACGGACAGTGGCGCTACAACCTACTCTTATATCAAATTCCAACTGCCAAGGGATCTTTTACGTCAACGCACCAATGACAAGGAGATACCAAGTCGGAAAATCATGAACTTTTTCGGCCAACACAGGGATCGAATACGGGACATCAAGGTTTGCGAGCCAACGTCTAACTCACTCAGCCACTGTCGCCCACATGACAAGTAGAACTCATATATTTCAGTGATTAAAAACTGCTTAATTCTGTCTAGTCGCAGTTGGTCGGTAGAGTTGGGGACGAGCTACTTGCGTGACATCTTCGCGTTTGTTGCTGCGTTTATATTACCGTCACTAGTCGTTTGGGTTGTACGAAAAAACGTGGTCCTTTGTACAGATTGGCATGAACGTAAAAAAAAACAACTTTGGCAGTTGAAAATTGATATAAGAGTATGTCGTAGTGCAGCTGTCCGGGCAAAATTTCACTCATAGCACACTGCATTTCGTATGCCGCTTTCATTAGCCAAATTGGAGCAGAACAGTAGGACGTTAAACTCCATTTCATTTCCTTTATTACTCTCACTGTACATTCCATGCGACTAATCTGGGTGGTGGGTTGAGTCTACAGCCTGACTAAGCGACTCTAAAGTATGTGCGTTTTTGCCAGTCAACTACTAAAAATATCACCCTACCATTACCAGCAGCATTAATAGTCCAGTGGACTCTGTCACATCCGACATCGTACGGGATCGTTACAATATGTCGGATTAAGCAGAGTGTTCCTTAAAGAGTTAAAATTCCTCGTTTCGTGCACGAGAACTATTAGCCCTTTCCTAACCGCTTACCACACGTTTACACACCAGTTTCATGATACTAAAATATATCTTACAGTTAGTGTTTAAGAGACACGTTTTTCCCTGTTGAAATTAATGTCAATATTACAATTAACGGTTCTATGATTTAGCTTGTCTGCATGTTTTCAATAATAATAAGTAAATCACAATGGATGTTTCTTATGAAAACTATTTAAACAAAAGACAAGATGGAAAGCGTTAGGATTGCAAACCTTTCGCTGACGCAAATGGGAATGATTTTCTGTATTCGGTTCTTTAAGGTGGGACATGCTGTGAAAACGGAGTGGCGCTCCGGCCATAATACCCATACTATAGGCAGACGGCCTTATCATTTTAGATAAAATTTTAAGAAAGTACTCTACATGGGTGTATTACTAGCAATTTATTACACCCTACTGGTTAAACTTTTACACCAGACTGGTTAAACTTTTACACCAGACTGGTGAACCTAGCTATTATACCCCACTGGTTAACCTATTATATCCCAGTGATAACTTACTGTTTAACCTACTGTTTAACTTATCATATCTTTCTGGTTAACCTAGAATACCCTATTGTTTAACCTATCATTACCTACTGTTTGACCTATTATATCTTTCTGGTTAACCTAGAATACACTAGTGTTTAACCTATTATAACCTACTGTTTGTCCTACTATACCCTTCTGGTTAACCTAGAACACCCGAGTGTTTAACCTATTATACCCTATTGTTGACCTATTATATTCTCCTGCTTAACCTATTATATCCCAGTGTTAACCTATTAATCCCTACTGCTTAACCTAGTGTTAGCCTACTGGTTAACCTATTATACCCTACTGGTTAACCTATTACATCCCAGTGTTAACTTACTGGTTAACCTATTATAACCCACCGTTTAACTTATAATATCTTTCTAGAATACCCTAGTGTTTAAAGGGCCAATCCTGATAATATTTTGGAGGATAAAACTGCTTAATTTTGTGTTAAAATCCCTTAAAATCCTCTACCTTAGGGCCGAGCAACTAACTCAATATATGTGATACATTTTCAAACAACTTAAACCTGCCAGTCTTCATCTGGAAATGGAGACCAGTGTCCCAAGCTATATTATGCGATGTCTGGATAAAACCAGGCTTTAATTTTATAAAAATTATGTGTAGGTGAAATTTACCTTTCGTTATCAAGTTCAGCACATGGGTCATTCATTGTATAGACCTCTAAAGGAACGGGAATCAATTATCAAGTCGTCCAACAAAAAAATTGACCCGAAATCTTAAAAGGCTTACGTGTCTGGATAAGCAGTTTTGACGTTCACGCCCAAACGACTTAATATTTTGAGCTGAAAATTTGAGACAAGGTAAATACACCATTCCTCTATATTTTTGCGCTTAAATATCATATGTACTCAGACTTTTATTTTTGAGACTCTGTTCAATTCGGTATAGTCCCTTTAATCTATTATACCCTATTGTTTGACCTATAATACCCTACTGTTTAACCTACTACACAGTTTAGCCGACGATACACTACTATTCAACCAAGTATGCCCCCACTCTTTAACCTATTAAACCTACAATTTAACCTATTACATACTACTGTTTAACTTAAACCTATTAGTAAAGGTGAGTTAATTAAGAATATATGGCGTGACATTATGCAAGGCCTGTACAATAATTTTTTTTTTATGTTTACAGACTAGTAATTTAGTCACAGTTGTATTTTTGTAAATACAAAATGATGTTTTAAAAAGTTAACCTATATGGCATGCGTGGTATTACTGTCAGAAAACGGAGAATGTGATCACCGAGTGATCTAATGAGCTTTCTGTAGATCATAAAGCATGTTCTATATGCAAGTCGTCGGTTGGATGTTAATCTTTAACATGGCGAAGAGTAGGGTCGCCTGGCTAACCTCATAGGATTTCTCCAGCTACTTCAGTTCCATCCCAATTCTAAAGACTGTTACTCACATGCGAATTACAGAAAGCTATCATTTGTTTGTCCCAAACTGATCTATTTAGTGTCGAGTTGATATTAACCCTCTTTTCTTCTTTCGGTTTCAGGTTTAATTGGAATAAGGGACTTTTCCGAGCCTCCACGGAACGCTTTGTCCCTCCCCCCCACCCATCCTGTCCCAAACATAATATACAAAAGTTGAACTACGGTAGGAAATGAACACGTTTAAGGAGGGTTTGGATAAAAACTCATTTACTTAGATCCACCTAAAGCTAGGTTCCAACTATCACGATTCGCGCTATTACGACTGAAATCGTGGTTTTAATCGTGGAGTAATCGTAATGATCCTATCAGGTCTTATCATAATTGGGGTCAGTCGTAGCATTCGTGTTGAATATCTGCACATACCAGAACGTGGACTCAATGGGGACAATCATATCGTAACGCATCGTATGACAGTGGGAACCTAGCAATAGAACACAGAGGTTGTACGTTAAAATAATTGCATAGGTTTATATTAAAGGTGCCAACTGAATTATATTTTATTGAAGAACAATATCAGACAAAGCTCTGTGGGATGGCCGCAATTTTCTAAAACTGTAGCTGCTTAGTGGCTGATCTCATATCAAATAGAGAAACGTTAGCGTAATTTTGCTCGTGAAAATGTTGGCACAGTTACCCGTGTTTGAGAGATAACACAACTGTAGAGGATAAATTTCTAGTAAATGATGCAGATTTTATGTTTGTTTTACATTGTATTGCCTGACTGAACCACCAGCTGTGCGATGTCTCTAAAAGTTTTTTAAATTATGTTTAAGTAAAGGTTGACCCATTTTCCCATCTTATAACTGGATAATCCACACGGCGATTACTTGTCGCATCACATTCCCAGTTTTCCACATCAAAGCACACTATGTTTTTTTTTCATCGACGAAATGGTTGCCAGTAGATGATGATTTTTTTCCTCTACTGATTATAAATCCGGCATAAAAATGGGGACATTGAGAGAAATGGGGTTTAACGTCTACTCGACACAAACTAGGTTATTTCGGGACTAAAACATTGTTCAATTTTGTTTCAATAATTCGCGAAATGGCCGAAGAGAGAGAGAGAGAGAGAGAGAGAGAGAGAGGGAGGAATGGGGTTTAACGTCCACTCGACACAAACTAGGTCATTTCGGGACTAACATATGGTTTAATTTTATTTCAATAATTCGCTTCCGCGTAGGGGTCTTTAGCAATGGGAGGAAACCGAAGCACCCGGAGTAAACCCACGAGGTTGGACAGGCGACCCTACTCCTTGTCACGTACAACCGGGGAATCGAAACCACGCCAGCTGACTCAATGACAGAGATCTTATGATACAGCGCGCACGTGCTAACCATTCGGCCATCCAATGCCCCGGCATAAAAATGGAACTTGTTTGCATTAATAGTTGAGTCTGCTTTTTTCTTTAAACATAATATACTGTTTTATAAAATCTAACATTTAAGTTTGAAATTTTTTTTTTAATGCAGCGAGGCGAGGCGCAACTTTTGCGAAGTTTACTAACGAAATTGGCAATGCTGTAAATGACATGTCGCTACAATACAGCTCTTTGCATCGCAAAGTCTCTAAATGTTGCCGCTCCCGCCCCACAAATATCACTTAGGATAGTTTTAGATTGGCATTTAATTAATAGCCGAGCAGAATACTTTCCTTTTAAAAATAAATCTACCAAAGTAAAACATTTCCATTTGGTTGAAAGGCAATCATGTTTTTAAATCAAACAATGTATTTTGAACACTGAAATCTTATATATTTTATCTTCAAAATAGCCAAGTTTAAGGCATACATTCATACGTTATACACAGCACTTAGATTCAAATAGAACCGGTTTGAGATACTAAATGCCCTTTTAATTTGCATCCACAAAACACACACACACACACACCCTTTTTAAAAACAAAAACCCTATCGTTCAGCGCTTCAGGGAATTGGATTTATATCGATGTTGAATACAAAACCACTAAAGACTTCGATTTTCTATAGTTTAACACACGACAATATAAAGTGCCTATCGGCTAATATCAAAGTATCACCTTAATATCCGATAAGTTTTGAGTAAACTCATACTAACATAAAAAGGTGTGTTAAACTTAGAATAAAAGCTGCAGTCAAAGTTAAAACTATGCAAATTATTAGGAAAATATAATACTATGAATTATTTTAAGAACACAATACTTACTGTTATAAAAAAAGATGAATCCAAAATTTGAGAAAAAAAGAAGAAAAGTATAAGAAACCGTGGTTAAGATTCTGTGCGGGACCTCTATGTCTCTTACTGCTATTATCACCCATTCGCCGCCTGTTACTGACCAATCAGCAAGCGCGACTCAAGAAGAAATGAATATTGTCAAGATACTAATGCCATTCTAAGAATCAATGTTATTTCTTTCAATTCACGGACATAAATCAATTTGATATAATTAGAGCGGCAACACGGGTTGTCTGAAGTAGTCGAGGGCAGGTCTTTACGTAAAACCCGAAGACTAAACATGCGAAAGCTAACTTTCTCACAATAAGGTACTCCAATTCTATTTGATTAAGCGAACTCCTTTAAGTGACTTAATACAAAGCACATTTGTGTTCTCTTCATTAAAAGAGACATAAAGAAAAATATAGCAACAAGGGTCAAAGTGAAAGGAATGGATTTAAGTTTAAAGGAACGCTCATGTAGAGATATTCTGGGTTGTAAGAAACTGAATGAGGTATAATATTTTGTCAAGATTGTCGATTATTGCGGTTATCTAACGTTCATATAGGTATGTATGGTATCACCAATTACCTAAACTACAAAGTATATCCTGACCCAGGTGTGATTAACTAGACTACAAAATCTATTGTGACCCAGTCGTGATGTCACCTATATATATCAAACCCCTCTCCTCCACGTGTAAGTACCATCTATTGTGGGGTGGGGGTTAGATGTCTACCGTGTGCATTTTAAATCATACGGTATGTCACTGGTGTATAATGTCGAGAATTATATGACATTACGTAAATGGTAAAGTACAAGTGTGCACAACTATAAACAACAATATAAAATCACTAGTTATGCAAAATCCCAGAACAGAAGTGGTTCTGGAAATGATTAAAGATACATTATGGGAGATAAGATAAAGAGATGGCAGTTCTCGCTATAATAGTTAAAAACTAGATAGTGTAAAGGTAATTTGCTGAAAATTTCAGTCAAAATGATCCACTATGAGCCGAGAAAGAAGCGGGTGAAATTTTTGCATAGTCTCGGTCATCATTACTAAAATCATTTATATAAACAGCATAGTCTCGATTATCCACTTTTATTGATTTAATTATCAATAGCCGTTAGCGGCATATAGGAATCTAATCCAGCCAACATCTAAGGCTAGCCTTGACATCGAGAGTTTATTATGGTCTGGATAAGTTAATTAATGTCTAATTGATAATTTAGATAACATTTCAGGCCTAAAGAAAATCTTGTAATAAGCAGATTTTGCTCTTGCATAATGCATGTTTAAATCCCAAATAATTCTCTACAAATGTTTTCACCAAAGGCTCTTACACCACTTTAAACTTTGAACGTCGTCTGCCTGCAGAAAAACATAACAAGTGTCTATGTTTGTTATCCCGTATATTTTTGGCACCATCCATCTTATATATATATATATATATATATATATATATATTCTATATGAGAGAGAAGGCAGATGTAGAGCACATTTCTGGTAAATATTACAGAGTTTGTGTTTTCTATTGTATTATGATCCACAGAAGAACAAAAAGGGTCAATGGCATTTTGTAGAGCATGTTTTAGTAATAATTCGGGAGCTACGGTGGCTCAGTGAGTAAGACGGTGGCTCACTAACCTTGGAGATCGCTACATAATGTTTCTTTAAATAATATATCTAATATATTTTCACACGAGGATAACGGATTTTTATTATTAAAATTTAAATAACATCGACCCCCCTACCCGTGCCCGCTGAGTGGATCAACTATCGCCAAATTTTCAAGTTAATCTGTTATCGGTGATTAAATTAAAATACATCATGGGTATGTTTTCATTTACTTAAGGCTGTTCACACAATTAAAAGTCTAGTGTTTTAATATCAATACAATGGTGTGAAATATAAAACAAGGATGGATAGGTGGGCTACATTTATCAACTAAAAAGTTGAAATCAAAAGGAATTAAACTGAAGTGCCAATTTACTAGCATTTTGTGGGTCGCGAACATAATTTTAAGTGACAATTAAAAGAAATCAAATACTTCGAAAACAAATAGAAGACGTGTTTAAAGCGAAAACATATTCTGGGAAGAATTTATATATGTTTCAAATACATTTACAAGAAATTTGTGGTTGAAAATGTTGTTGAAGATAACGGTACAAGAGACTGCTGTTTAGGACAAATCACGACGTGGGCCGTTTCGAACATTTTAATTTAAAATGTACAGGAAATAATTCAATTCATGACTTTATTAAATAAACAAATACTTCGACCTAGGCTTCATTTTTCTTATACAGTGAAAATGAAATGAAATGGTGTTTAACATCCTATTTTCAGCAGCTCCGAACGTTAAAATCTGCATATCCCAACCTTGGCTTTTTTTTCACTAGCCGGCGGAGGTCTTTTAAACAGGGGCGGATCCAGAGTGAGAGCGGGGTGTTCAAAAACAGCACTTTTATGAGAAAAGTGTCACGGTCGTGTGTTTTATTCTTTATCATCAGATGGTGGGATGGGATGGGCATTAATGAAATTGAATCACAATGTGATCCTACTGATTTCGAATAAAAATTGACGTCAAACGGGTTGTTGGATTTCTCTCTTTAAAAAGTCCAATGTGTATGTATGCCTATGTAATTTGGAAAGGATGTTGGCATCATACATTGTCGGCTGTCAAATTGTCAATAAGAACCTGGCAAACCCCCTCCTTCAAAAATTCCTGGATCTGCCCCCCTATCAAAGCCATAATGCCTCCTACAGACATATTGTTTTGCGCCAGAAATGATATACTACTGTTGTATCTTAGGATTGGATAAGTTTCACATCTAAGTAATACATACATACGATGAGTAAACCAACTGTTGAACGCGAACCCAGAAAATATATAAGATGGACAGTCGGTTCCAAATGTTAGTCAAAAATATAATCCTATAAACCTTTACGACAAAATTGGGCATTAGAAAGAATACCTTTCAAAGTGCTAAGTGGGCGTTTAAAATAGGTATGCATAAACCAAAATGGTATACGAACATAATGTAGTAATATGGATGGCGGGATTTGTGCAAAAGAAGCTATTATGTCCTTGACTAATTATTCTCCATTGTCAAAATATTAGCTATGGTATAAGTTTATTTTGAAACGCAAATTAAATTATTTATGAAATATTGTGACAATAACAGGACATTGGGGTCTAAGGCCAAGGATAAAGTCTATTGTCTATTACACTCATGTGAGGAATATTCCATTCAAAATCTGGCTTATATATATCGTCATGTGACCATCAGGCTTAGTAACCAATCATCATAATATTTGACCAATTAAATAATAAATAGCAAAAGTTAAGGCATATAAAAACACTTGTGTGCTATTCCTTTCCGTATAACCCCGAGAAGAAGAAGAAGGAGAAGCGCGATTTTAGAAACCAGGTAGATTTGAGAGCGCAAACATCATGTCGTTGGAAGAGACTGTTAAGGTTCAAGTGACACCATCTGGGTTGAGAGATAGAATGACTTTATTTTTGATTTATGTTTGTAACCTATGTATCCAGCTTGATATACAACTGGTGAAACCGTACCTTTGTTCCCGTCATCTTGTTTATTAATCATACGATATTTTAGGACTGATAACGTGGGATGTCGGGGTGACATTTAAAGATACGTTTTAATGGCGGAGATAAAAATATATACACAACGTGAGTCATAAGAAGGGGAATTACAAATACAACCAGAAACAATACTAGACGATCCCAAGGATCATAAAATAGGTAGCAGAGAAGAGAGTATGCGTCACACGTGGGATGTGGGGAGTTTTTGTGGCTTTGTACTTTCCACATCTAACCAGCGACTCATAGAACATCATCGCATGGCATGTTGGATTTGGTTGCCGAACTGTGCTTAGTGCTACACGAGCCCGAACTCTGACGGATGAGCAGCCTGAAAAGTGGTATTGGGTTTTCTGTAAAGAAGGTATTTGGACCTAGTTAATATATATTTATTATCACCTGCAGGGGGTTATTAATATGGTATATTGAGAATTGGAATACCAATAGCGTGAGTTATGTCGAGGAGTATGTAACAATTGGGAGGGGGGGAGTCAAGTGGTCTAACGTATGCGCTTTAGATCAGAAGGCCTGTCATTGAGTCAAGTGATGTGGTTTCGATCTCTCTCTCTCTCCCTCTAAAATGTTCTCGTCAGAGGCTCTGATAATACTAAAAACACTGAGGTCTATTTCGTCATGGAGTTTGTTGTTTCCGAAATGATATGATATGAAATATATCTCTATAAGGAAGAGTTCTTTGTTCTAGTTCGATATTTGACAAAATAATATTTTTTTTACCCTTCTCAAACCCACTCACAATTTAGCTCGAACAAATTACACGTATGTATACTCAGCCAAATTAAAAACTTGACACTCGGGAATTTTGGGACTAGATTTTTAATATTTGGTTTAAGGCAACTATTTTAGTGTTATGTTGTGCACAGACGACCTTGACATCAACAGAAAGCAAAAATAAGTCTCGCCGAAAGTCCTTGACATTGATAACGTTCGTGATGTCACAGTACCCCCCAAAATGAAATTCACAGACTTGTATAACAATCGAAATAAAGTGTTTAGTAACGGCTGTGGCCTCCTCTAGCGTCTGGTACTGCCACACAACGTCGTCTCGTGGATCTCAGAACATTAGTAAACACTACCCGAGGAAGACGTCGCCACTGCTCAGCAAGAGCATGTTGAAGGTCATGCAACGTCAGTGGTGGATTCACTTGCTGACGAACACGTCGACCCAGTTCGTCCCAGATGTATTCAATAGGATTAAGGTCGGGGCTAAGCGACGGCCAATCCAGGACTTGGACACCGGCATTTCTTAAAAAATTCTGGGTAGCAATTTCTGTATGGGGTCGAGCATTGTTTTGTTGAAACGTCAGTCCAGGTCCATGTCTCTGCATAAACGGAAGAAGAACAGGTTGCAAAATCTGATCCCTGTACTGGACAGCATTTAATTTCCCTTGGACAACAACAAGAGGAGAACGTCCATGTGCACAAAAAGAACCCCAAACCATGACGCTGCGGCCTCCAAATCGGTCAACTTCTCTGACGCATACTTGAGCGTAACGTTCACCTCGTCTGCGGTACACTCGGGCCCTAAAGACAACCGAATTCCACTGTCTTTGA